ACTGTATGTCATATTCGACCCCTTCCACAGTACTCACCTCGCCTTCTTCTCTACATTCGTGTTTCTATCTTTTAATTCTTTGCGACACTCCTATGTTCCCCCCCCCCATCGACTTTCTTCACTTTGATGTTCCTACCCCTCTGTGAAGCATGAAGTCAACTAAAGAGCTAATGATAACTATAAAAACGCCTGCCAAATAAATTCATCTAACCCAAATGTCTACGATCAACTGGCGTCGTTTTACTGAATGCCAGTAGGATTTATTTTAAAACCTGTACTTAAAAGCATAATTGAGATACAATCACGTCGGATTTCAAACAGACCGAATCCAAATGAACTCTGTGGTTCAAAAATTGTTGTCAAACTTGTAGCAAATTAATGGGGGTGTAACCGAGTGATAGTAAAATTAAATCAAATCACTCCCTCACTCAGCTTCGAAAATTCAGTCAATTTTTTCACAAATCCGAGAGTCGACTCATGAAAGTCAAACATATGGATACCTAAATTAGATATCTGTAACATTTGAAAATACAAACAATTTCAAAATTTTTAATGGACTTAATAACAAGCCTGTTTATGTCATTAATGATGTCTATTTAGGAAACTGCTTATGGCTTATATATTAAATTATTCCTATTCCGTATCTCCACTAAATGACTGCTTTATTTGTAAATAAACAATTTCCCTTCAACTATAATACCTTGCTTGGGGAACATGAAAACATGCAAATCTCGTTGGTTTGAGCAAAATAAGTGAAGAATTACTTACCAACATAACTTGGCGTTCCACAAGCAGTAGATAGAGAGTCGCCGTCTTCTTCTATTCTCGAAAGTCCAAAGTCGCTGATCATGATTTTACTGTTTGGTAGAGGATTGGAATAAAGCAGATTTTCCGGCTAATTAAATGAAAAAAGTGCGATTAAAGTACAATGGGCTTAATTCACTCTACTTCATCTTAAACTAATTCTAACGCATCAATCATATTCCAATATTATAGGCTTCTAAATTTAATAAAAACGATACTAGAATGACCACCCTATAAAACTAAGACCAGTTAATGCTAAAGTAAATGGGATTTCAAATGGTTTAGAGCACTTTGTTGCCTCAAAAATTGTGGCGCAGTTCAAATACTAAATTAAATAATTGACAATGGATCTCACAATGTTCTTAACAAAAAAAATTGCCGAATCGATTAGAAACCATACACGGGTTTTTTAAGGATTTTAAATCGGTTAGGACATTCAAAAATTATATTTTAGTATACGGGGTGTGCGATAGACTTACCTCCACGTGGTGCACCCTGGGCAACGTATACTTATACGGCACAAAAGTCTATTAATCGGCAGTTGACTTCTGACTTCAAACTACCATCACCCCACTGTATGTCATATTTGACTACTTCCACAGTACTCACCTCACCTTTTTGCTACCTTTGTGTCTGTCTCTTTTACATCTTTGAAACACTCTTCTGGTCCCTCCCCCTCTCAACTTTTTCTCCTCTTTGATGTTCCTTCCCCTCTGTGAAGCCTGAAGTCAACTAAGGGACTAATGATAACTATCAAAACGGCTGCCATTTGACATAAATAAATATATTTACCAGTGAGGTATGAAAAATTCTTACAACGAATTTCATCATTAGAACTTAAAGACTCTTCAACAGCAAGCCCATTCAAAGCAATAAGCATCAAATTAAAACTCAAAAGTAATGTTTAAAAAATTCAATTTCAATTAGGAAAAATAAATTTTTAAAGCAAGATCCACTAAAATGAACATAACAGAATGTCAACTTTTAATGGTAACTCAATTACGGTGGAACTAATAACACTCACTGATGAAATAATATTTGGAAATATGGTAGCAAAATTCAGCATTAAAGCATTAATATTAACTCTAATTTAGTATTACTAAAATTTTAACAAGAAAGATTAGAATGCACAAATTAAATTCCTCCAAAAAAACATGGAAAGTAATGTTTTGTTGAAATGGCACATGGAATTATTCATCAAAAACAGCAAGCACGACACGACCCTTTACTCTCTCTCTCTCTAAACATACAACTTTGATTGCAATGGGGAGAACACTTTTGAACCGGGGAATCTTTCCAACTTATCAATTCCAAGCATAAAATGGGGAGAGAGAAGCCTACCTCCTGTTCATCTAAGTGGATTCGCATGCGCACACTTTTCTTGGGAGTCAGATTGACGGAGACAAAAGGTGCCACATAGCCATGCTGTCGTTCCAACTCCCAGAATCTGAAGCACAAAAAAGATGGAATAGATAAAGTAGGAAATCGAACAAGGTTGCTCATAGCTATTCATCGTTTCGATTTATCAAGTATCAAAGAGTCCGGGGTTGGATTAGATTGTGCTCCACCTGAAAATTACAGCCCATATGACCTTTCTCTAAGATAGTTTTACAGGTAAACACTCTACAAGTGAGTTTCAAGGTATAAGCATGTTCAAACAAGTCAAAACTAGCTTGTTAAAAGAGGTGGGAGATTGCGACTGGACATGAACTCTTTCTTCCGGGCGAAAGAGGCTTTAACCGATGTAAATAGTTTAAACTTCTTAAGGTTGGCGAAAAATGAGGTGGTAATTTCTACTGATGATAAAGTAAATGATCAATACTCGGATCCAAAATTTTCTAATATCCCCCAGATCTCTATATTAAATTTTAGATTAAAAGTTGCCAAAATCTTCCATCAATTCACTAAAAGATACGAATTGGCATTATAACACAAATCAAACAAGACACAAATGAATCGCTGACCCTTTCTTAAGCCACAAAGCCTGTACAAGACTGTTTAAATAGATTCAATGCAAGTCTTATAAAATGTTTCTTCATTGGACAAAATGCTAAAACAGCAAATTTCAACAAAAGTAAAATAATAAGGAACTATTAGTGGTAATCAGAATCGGCGTGAATTCCCGAAATTGACGACTGGTATAAGCTGCTTTGGTAATGAAAACACGACAAAGTAACGTCACACGAAGTTAAGACACCCCATTTAAAGCGTATGCAAGATAATTCAAGGATTTAAAATTTTTGTCTTACTCAAAAATAATAATGGCAGTTAACTTTAAAAGTCACCTTTCTTGATGTTTTTTGCTGTAAATTCAATAGCTGCTCAATAGAGGAAATCTGAGATTACTCATCAGGTAGTCAGGCATACACGCCCAAAGTGACTGAAAACAAAATGAGTAGGCAAATGAAATAGCGGAAATTAGTCAAGAACTGACCTTTGTGGTCGAAGTGCTTCTTCAATTTGGCCAAATCGTCGAACAAAATCGCGTTCTGCTCTCTCTTTCTCCTCTTCTGTGATGATTGTTACGTTGTATGATTCTAAAGTAGGAAGTCGGGCGATTACGTCGTATTTGAAGATCTCTGCACTGCAATTCTACAAAAAAGAGGGCGCATTACAATTTCTTCCATTCCAATCTTTGCAACTGGCCCGACTTTCCACATCACGCACACCAACAGATTGTGAAACGACTTCTTTATTCTTATTTACTGCTAATAAGCCAAGAAGCGTTGCATACTTAATTTAAAGTAGAATTCGCTCATTTGACATCGATATAATTGTAAATCATATCTCAGTATATTTAAACTTTAAATAAAGACTTTGTGAAGTATGCGATTGGTTCATGAGCGCCATTATATTTCCAAATTCACAAAATGGTAATATTAACATAGCAATCACAGTATTAAAGAGATTATTTGAAAACAAATGCGCAATAAGCAATAAGATTTCAATAAAAACCTAAATGGTAAGAATGAAATGAATTTATGCCGTTTAAAGCTGAACTCAAAGAGAGTATACCAAGAAAGTTTATTTATTTATATCAAATGGCAGGCGTTTTGATGGTTATCATTAGCCCTTTAGTTGACTTCAGGCTTCACAGAGGAGAAGGAACATCAAAGTGGAAAAAAAGTCGAGAGGGGGGACAGAAGAGTGCTTCGAAGACGAAGGTAGAGAAAAAGGTGAGGGGAGTACTGTGGAAGTAGTCGAATATGGCATACAGTGGGGTCATGGCAGTTTGAAGTCAGAAGTCAACTGCCCATTGATTGACTTTTTTGCCGTATGAATATACGTTGCCCAGGGTGCACCACATGGAGGTAAGTCTATCGCACAACCCGAGACCAGACAGTGGATGAAATTATGATAATTTGCATACATTAAACCCACAACTAGAATTTTGCGTGTTAGTTTAACAAATAGAATACTAATTAATTTTAGCATAATATCAGTTTCACTGGACAATTGGCATCAACGACGATTATATCCAGACGAAAGTAGCAAGACCTGAAATTGTACTCCACTAGAAGAAAAGAAGTTCATTCCAATATCCTTTTAAAGTTATTGAAAATAAATTCTTCCAGTATCTTCTGGGGTGTTTAATTACTCCAATCCACTTGGTAAGTTTAGATCTTGAAAATTTAACGCACATTTATTGTCATCATTTGTTGATAAATAGTTCATTCCGATCCCAAAAAAGATGAATTCACTACAACTAAGGCTAGGAAAATAAAATTGGCCGTATTGGTGCACAAATACATGATGCACTCGTCTTGTCCAAAAGCAACAAACGCATTTCTGGTAAAAAATTGCTTTAACTGACTCTCTTTGAATAGTTCGAATGCAGATGAGATGAGAATAACTCAAACCAACCGCTCTGAAGATAGGAGATACGTCTACACGAGACTATGCTTTAGTGCCTCTTGAGAGCTACGATTTTCTGCTAGGGAGTACGAGACCAGAGATGCAAATCAATATTATTCTTCTTTGGTGTTAAGCTTCCAAATGACAAACCATGGAGGTTCTATGTACCAAAGAACATCAATTACCACTGGAGATTAGAAAATTCCAACTTTTAGTGGCTTATATCTTCAACTATTCATCTCTTCACCCTCCAATGGGCTTTTGAAAGCTCGCTTTATTTGGTAAAAGCAGCAACAAATTATTTACTTCAAGCATCTAGATAAATCAGGTCTAAGTATTCTCCTCACCTTTGCTGAAATGATACTGCAATTTCCATTAAGTACTCAAATGTTCAAGGGCATTTCGTCGGGCGGTTAAAATCGATACAAATTACTGCAAGTTATGGGAAAAGGCAGTAAACAAGGAAAAATACGCAATTCTCAAAATGACTTCATGAATAATCAGGAGATGTGCGAAAAAGAGAATATGTAAACCATGGGACATGATGACTCAGGCAGATGGAGTAAGCGAACGCACAAACGCGCCATGGAAGAATAACACCCACCACAAAATTCGCATAAAAGGCAGCTAAGAGGTTCGGCGTAGAATGAGAAGGAGTAACAGCAAAACAGATGACAAATAAAATGCGGCCAATTATTTCCAGGTGGACATCTTGAATCATCTAAATTTTGGGTAGGAAAAGTAAACCGTGCCCACATACACTTATCTACTAAATATACTGTTGAGAGAATAAAAAGTGCCCTTGCATTAATAGAAGGAATGAGTTAAACCATATTAACAGATGAGACGGTAGGAAGGTTCCTATAAAGCCATTCCTGTTACTAGCTAAAAGTCAAGAGAGGAAGGAACACATTTACACCAAGCTCACACACACAAGTGAGCTCAACTCTGTTACAAATAGAACAGCTCTTAATTCAAACGTGTTGGCCAAACGATTCACGGAAGTGAGGCAATTGACTTATAAGTAAACGTTAAAGATAGAAACTCTGTGAGGAGATCAATAGGTTTCGAAATTAAAACGTAATCTTGGCATAATATCCTCAGTTTCTTAAGAAAAGCCAATTAAAATACAAAACCAGAGTAAACTAAAAATCACAGGAGCCTATTTGATCTACCTCACCATTTCATTTAGCTGTACGCATTCTCATTTAAGAAATGTTATACATTTTTGTGACACAAATCGTAGTAATAAATGCAAAACAAGAGAGCACTATTGACAGCATGAACAGCAATAGCCTTTTAAAATCTTCGTCAAAATCAATGTAAGAGTAGCCTTTTTACTAGTAATTTGGGTTAAGGTAAGTCATAATGGAGTTAAGTTTCTTCGTCATCAAGAAGCCCAAGTGGGATAAATGACTCAATTACAAAAATAGCACATGTTGACCAAAAAATAGAACTCCCCGTAACTTATCGAATTTCCAAATCAGTTTAAGTATCGAATTGCAAAAAAATGACAAAATGATTAGTATCTAACAGTGATTACAAGTCTAATTATAAAGCAAGTTTGAAAAAAGTATAATAATAAACCGAGATGTTCTAATGCTAAAAGCAGATCTGCAAGTAGTTGAGATTTAAATTAATTCTAGAAGAACTAATTAATGTTTTTTGCTTAATTAATCAACCACAAATTTGAAAGTTCGCAAAAAACAACGAACACTCTAGCTTAGTGGAATGGTACAAATGGTGTCAATAAGCAAAAAAAGGACAATCAAAATGCAATTTCATCTTTTGAAAATATTTTCGTCTAAGTTCAATTCTTATTAAAATTTTCCAACTATGGAAGTAATTCCTAAAACTTGAATTTGAAATAGACTACGGTACAGTGTGGGGAATCTCTGCATCTAACGTACGACAAGGCAAACAGGAAAATTGCGTGAACTTTTGCCGAAATTAACTGTTCAATTAGAAGTAACGTTGGTTTAAAGTGTATCGGAATCGTTATGAACAAATTAAAGGGTTAGTAAGAATCGCTGACAATATGCAGTTATAAGTAAGGAACATTTTTTGATATTTATCTTTGGAAATGCGAAATAATCCGAATATCCTATTAACAAACTAATTCAATTGAATTTCTGAATCAGTATCCAGGCTCGTGCTTTAAAATCATCTTTTCCTAAAAGGCGTATGCCGTAGACACTAAAATGGTACAGAGGGGTTACAATTGCGATTGCACTGTGAATTAGTTCGACAATC